TTTTTTTTTTTTGGTAAATGCTTCTCAAAATAGAGGATAGCTTCCATAAACAAGTACATTAACACCGTGGTATTGATACTTCCTTTCTATAACTTTTGAAAGCGGGCCACATCCTTGGGAATGGCTGCAATAGGTCTCCCAAAATAAAACAGAATGGGGCAAGAGAGGCAGCGAGGAGATGGGGATCTCTGTYGCCCTTCCAGGGGAGCTGATGGTTCCTTCAGAGACAAAAAGCAGTCGTTGGAGCTGCTTGGCTTTGGAAAGGCCAAGTCATCTCTTCCCCAGGTAAAGCCAGTGCTGCTTTCTGCATCCCATCACCAACACCTACTGAAGCCTCAAAGGTGTCACCGGTAAAGTCACCTCGGAACAGCTTTGGGTTCAGGGAACAACAGTCGCGTTGCAGTGATGGTTCCTCTGTGACAGGGAGCCAAAACGAAGGGCCGGATTGATGCCGCCTYCCACGGCCCTTATTTCTGCTAGTGCCTTGCAGCAGTTTCGGCTCCGAACTGGAGCTGTTGACCAGTCTGGGCTGTGGTTGACTGGCACGATGCCGTATCTTGCACTTGTATCAAGTGTCTGCTTTGGGAGGAGGTGGTTTCCTGGCTCTGCAGCAGGGCTCGGGGCAGGTGAGCGCCTCGGCGGGTGCAGCGGGGCCCCGTGCGCTGCAGTTGGGGGGATTTTGCAGAGCTTGTGGGCTCTGTGTGACCCACCAAGTCTGTGGAAAGTGAGCTTGGGAGGACATCAGAGTTGGGGAAGACGTGAGGGACCTGCCTTCCTTTCTCTTCCTTTTAGATGATGTGGTAGGGAGCTGACTGACGKTTTTTTCCTTCTTTCCTCCCAGCCCATAGAGCTTTGCTGTGGTGGGATCTATAGCCTGAATAAAACGCCCGATATCCTAAAGTCTCTTTTTTCCTTTGGTGTTCCTTTTCTTTTTCCTGGCTTTCCGTAGAGTCTGCCGCATCTGGAAGGGACTGAGCGCATTTCCCTGGTGACGAGGAGAATCGAGGCAAGTTGCAGGTGCCCAAGAAAAGGCTGACGGCTCTATCCTCTCTCCTGTGCCTCAGCTGCAACCTTTCTTCCTCTGTTTCTCAAATWTCATGAGGGAGGCTTCTTTTTGGCACGGGTGACGCGTGGCAGGTAGCCTGGTGGGTGCCAAAGATTCCTGTTGGTTGTGGAAGGCACCTCCTAGGTGAGGAGGCACCTCCTAGGCAGGCGCCTTCGCCGTCGTGTGGGCCCAGCGCGGAGCTCACTGCCGTTTCACAACAGGAACGGTGTTCCGCACTCGAGCGTGATGTGGGTCGTACCTGTGTCAGCMACGTGGTGCCTGCTGCTCAGGAGAACCAGTGTCTAGCAACGTAGCAGGTTGAACTTCAGCAACCTCTGGTTGTTAAGACTGTCGTAGAGAGAGTGTTTGGGGATGTAGTAGGAAAGGTCTCCTGAAGGAGCCTCCAAGCTAGTGCTGAGCAGTGGATTTGCTTCCGCACGTYTCCGTAGCGGGTGACAGGCTGCAGGACAGCTGAAAGCCAGCAGAAAGTTTCTGATAGTAATCTAGGCAGTTTTTGCCTGTTCACTGCCTGGTAGCTTTGGAAGAAAATATGTGGATTGCATGCAGCAGGATTCTGTTGGGATTGACTTGGAACAGAGGCCTCAGTGCCTGCCTAAGTACAGGAAGGAGGTTTGAATTGAATYGCACAGAAGAACTTGATCCAGGTCAATTAATCTGTCGAGAAAACGGCGTGATTTCTTTGGATAAGGTTTCAAAGRCTCTTGTTTTAGTTTTCCCCAATGTCTTTCAGCCCCTTAGAGCTGCTCGAAAGGACGAGCTTTAAGAAACACGTTTGTGAAGGGGAGCAAGGAATAAGTGGTGTTCCATCAACGCAGTTAAACCTCCCTCATGTCCCGGGCTTTCCCCCTGGGAACAGGCAGGCCGGACGGTGTCCAGCCGGGGAGCGYGGCTCGGTGGGAAGAGCGTCGCGCGGGCGCTCACCGTCCGCCTCCTCCGTCCCCTCCGCCAGCCCCTTGGTCCTGCTCCTTCCTAGGCCTGGCTCRGGTAGATCGCAGGCTCTTGCGGGCTCGTCCCCTAGTTTATCATTACAGCTCTGAGCAAAACAAAGGTCTGCTCRCAGTGAAGGCCTCGCGCGGTGGTCCAGGTTAATCTTTCAGCTCTGGCATTCCTCCTCACCTGCTGTTGACCAGGGGTCATYGCTAGCGTTGCCAAGAGACTGTCTCCTCCGTGCAATAAATTCCTCCTGTGGCTGCCGGGAAGGCCCCTTGGCCGCTCCGATGATCRCGGTGATGTTCACCGCACTGGGACACCTCCACCCTCAGGACCTTGAAGGCCTGGGGCAGGCAGAGGTAGCACAGGGTGGTCGAAGCCTCTGTGGTGCCGTGGGTGAACCCTCATGCCCAGGTGCGGGAAGGAAGCACAGGCCAAAGCACAGGATGGTGAGGAAGTCAACCCACTGGATTTAACCCTTTTTTCATGATGCTGTCCAATATTGATTCATTGATTGATTTTCTGCTCCAAGGATGGCAGAAGTGGGGGCAATGATGAGTAGGAAGCTTTGTTGTAAAGYGTGGCTTGTGCTGTGCAGAGCCTTTGAGTATCGTCCCGATGGATTTGGCCAAGCCTGGTGGATCATGCTGTAGATCACTAGTTTTGGTAGCCCCTCACCTTACCCATCCTGCTCTTCCATCATCTGCTTCTAGCTGTAAAGGGAACCCTTTGGGAAGCTTCACCTTTAAACCCGAAACATCCATCTTCCGTGGGGTGGAACAGTTTAGAGAAAGGATGAAATGATATGGCAATAGTCTGTTTTGGTTATTTGTTTGTTGTTGTCAACTTAATGAACTCTGTAAGCCCTTTAGATAGTGAAGAAGGGCACACCCCAGGCCTGCTTTGGCATCATCTCCCTCTGTTTTTGGAGTGCTCCTAGCTCCCAAGTAAGGGCAGGAGGTCTTTAGAAGGCTTTGCTTTCCACTGCCCCACCGCTTCCATCTCTCACCTTGATTCTATCACTTTAATCGGTGACGAGATCGCCTGGGACTCACTTCAACTCTGCTAGAACTTTAGGGTTGGCATATTTGTGTTCTCCTCTTTCCCTCCTTTTTCCCTTGAGTGGCAAAAAATAAATAGCCGTAGGGTTGTCTGGGTTTGTGCAAGAGTTAAATCTAAGTGTTTTTGTGAGCTTRCTTTGGTTTCTGAGCAGATGTTTCTAGCAGGTCATCTCGATGCTCTACAGATGACCTGCTAGAGCTGGGGAAAGGGTTWGCTTGCTATACTGAGCTCAAGGAACTGTTCAATCACTGTTTACTTTGGCTTAAATCCGTGTTATTTGTCTGTTTTTTTCTTTTTTTGTGTATGTATGTGTTTGTTTTTCTGTTAAATAAAGGGAGGAGAACTAAGCAATGCTTAATTTCTACCCTTCTCTCTCCCAGGGTTTTCCTCATATAATGGAGGAGGGATGAATGGCACAARCAAAATGATGGATTTCCTGGAGGAACCTCTTCCTGGTGTGGGGACCTATGAAGATTTTAACACTATTGATTGGGTGCGAGAGAAGTCCAGGGACCGGGACAGGCACAGAGAGGTAATTTTTCTTATTGTTCTTTGAACAGCTTGCCAGTTTTCATCATTTTGGAGGCACCTATAGGAGAAATATCTAGYATGGAGGAATTGCTCCCAGGATGGGAACTGAGAGCTTCTATATAGTTTGTGGACAAATCACAGAATTGTTATGGTTGGAAAAGACCTTGGAGATCATCAAGTCCAGCCCTCAACACCAACCTGTTAAACCGTGTCCCTAAGCGCCTCCTCCRCGTGTACCTTGAGCGCCACCAGGGAGGGCGACCCCACCACTCCCCTGCGCAGCCTCCTCCAGTGCTTGACSGCTCTTTCCATSTAGAAATTCTCCCTAATGTCTGACCTGAACCTCCCCWGTGCAACTTGAGGCTGTTTCCTCTGATTCTATCTGTAGTTCTTCTGGAGAAGAGAGCGACAAAGCCCTCACGACAACCTCTTTTCGGGTAGTTGCYTCATCCGTTTGGGTGTYCCCTCATCCAGATCATTGAGAAAGATATTAAAGAGGACTGGCGCGAACACTGACCGCTGGGGAACATAGACCTTGACCAGTCACCAGCTGGATTTAACTCTGTTCACCACCACTCTCCGGGCCCGGCCATCCAGCCAGTTCTCCACCCAGCAAAGAGGCCACCTGTCTAAGCCCTGAGCTGTCAGCCTCTCCTGGAGAAGGCAGCGGGAGCTGGTGTCAAAGGCCTTGCTGCAGTCTAAGTAGACCATGTCCACAGCCTCGTCCRCTCCTTCATCCACTAGGTGGGTCACCTGTGGATGAAGGAGCAGGAGTTGGTGAGGCAGGACCTGCCTTTCATGAACGCGTGTTGGCTGAGCCTGATCCCCTGCTYGTCACACGTGYTGTGTGATGTCCCTCAAGGTGATCTSCTTCAGAACATTCCCCACAACTGAGGTCAGGCTGACAGGCCGGTAGTTGCCTGGATCCTYCACGAGACCCTTCCTGTAGATGGACATCACATGGGCAAGTGTCCAGTTACCTGGAACCTCCCARGTAGACCAGGACTGTTGACAGAGGATGGAGAGCAGCTTGGCAGCACTTCCACCAAGGTGTTCAGAACCCTGGCATGGATCCCATCTGGCCCCATGGACTTGTGAGTGTCCAAGTGGGGTAGCAGGCCACTGAGTGTTTCCTCCTGAATTGTGGGCAGTTTCTTCTGCTCTCCATAGATGTTTTGCAGCTCAGGGGGTCAAGTACCTTGAGGAGAACTGATGTGGGTATTAAAGATTGAGGCCAAGAGGGCATTAAGCACTTCAGCCTTATCCTCATCGCTGGTGACAATGTTCCCTGCTGCATCCAGTGAAGGATGGAGATTCTCCTTGGCCCTCCTCTTCTTGTTAATGCATTTGTAGAAACATTTTTTGTTGTCTTTTACAGCAATGGGCAGATTGGGTTCCATCTGAGCTGTGGCCTTTCTCATTTCCCTTGTATATAGCCTAGTGCTGTCCCTGTACTCTTAAAGGTATTATTAATGGTAATAGATGGTGCCAGGCACCATCCTGGCACCTCCGGACMCCGCAGCGAGCGGCAGCAGCAGGGCCCAGGGTTCTCCCTGGCTCACACCGTCATTAACCCCTTCTTCACCCATATGGTGGATCTTGGAATCCAGTTTCCAGCTTTTGGGTGCCCCTTGGMTGGGGAGCTTCCTGATCACCTCTGGGGGTTCCTGCAGATAAAGGCAAAYGGAGCCCGCGGCTCCTGGCTCCACTCCACACAGCGCTCATTAAATTGCTCTCGTGACGATAGACAGTCACGTCCGCGCCGCCCGGGAGGCATCCTGAGGGACAGGCCCCTGGAAGCTCCTTTGGGTCTTCGCAGAGCAGCAGTGGCCCGTGCTTGGGAGGCGTCCCGAGGAGGTTCAGCAGCAGCTGCGATCCCTGAGCTCCCCCGGGAGAGGTGCAGCAGGTCCTGCCCTCCATCCTCCTGACGCCCCTTCCGAGCCAGCCCAGGGCAGGGCTGCCTGAGGCACCAGCCTCCATGGGGGCTTTCCTGGAGCTCCCCGTCCTCAACACGCGACTGCTGCTCTCCGAGAGAGACTGCACTGTAAAGGATATAACCATTTGTTCCACGCGGCGCCTGTTGCCAAAGAAGCAGGGCTGAGTTTTGCATCATGCGGTTCTGCTTGCGAGTCATGCTCGTGCTCCTGGAAGCTGGGCTGCACGTCGGAGAAGGCTGAGGAGCTGCTCTGTCMGGCCTCCTTCCCCGGGCTCTCCCCTTCGCCGCAATTAAAATTGCAGAGAGAAGCACAGAGATGCTTTATGGAAACTATCTGTGCACTTAGTGCGCTCCTGGTTCATGAGAGAACCAGACAGAGCTCTAGCAAGGTGGTGACTGAGTCAAACTGGGCTATTTGCCTGCCAAAATGCTCTCCTCTTTTTTAGCCTAGCAAAACCACTTGGCTTCGGTAGTATCCGTGTATTATTTTTCCCTTCCCAGTATATGACATATATATATATATGTATATACTGTAGTATAACACCACAAATGAGCATGGGTGGACCAAACCAAAGGTCCTTGTGACCTGTTCCTCCTCCCTACTAAATGGTTCTGCTGTGTGGATGATGGGAACAAATCCCAAGGATCCCGAAGAAATAAAGGAGGCGATTCCAGCTCTTCCCCTTCACGCCCCCCAAACGCTCTCATTGAACAGCAGTTGCAGACCTGAACCCTGTGTCCATGGAAAGATGAAATCTAGAGGAAGATGGTGATTAAAATAATTCATTCAGGCAGAAAGGATCCTTGCCTTATTTATTCCTGGTTTAGGGAGTGTTTGCTGGTCTGAGGGTTTTTTCTTTGGTCGGGTTGGTTTGTTGTTGAGTTTTTTTTTTCGTTTGTCAATGAATTTTTTCTCTGGGATAATAAGCCCGTACTGGAAGGTTTCCAAGCAGGCCTGGGTAATCAGGGCACACAATAGCCATTCTTTCATGCCTTTATGTGGCTGTCAAGAGCAATGAGAGTGACAGGCTTCGAACACCCCTATGGGATGGGCAAGCATGAGCCGGAGACTCCAAAGAACCTCTCTGACAGGACAGGACGTGTCCCCAGCAGGCTGGAGCCCTCGCCTGCAGGGCCGTCTGCCCAAGGGGCTCCTCGCTGCAGCAGCTCCTTTGGCAGCCACGGTGGTGTCGCCTCTGCTGCCCCTCTCACATCTGCCTTTGGAGACCCTGGAGGGCAGAAGGTGCTTGGTGAAAGCAGTTCCTGGTGTGCAGCACAGCTCTGGAGACCGTGAAAAGACCACGAAAACTCCGGAGCTTTCACAGCTGCTGTGGGGTCAACACCCACCTGTCTGGCACTGCTACCTTGCTGGGGCCTAAGAGTGTTTCTCAGATCTTCACATCTGCTCGTGGCATCAAGAGTTGGCAGCAGTAATTATGGGGTTTCTGGCTAGGGAAAAGGGAAGCGTCCTTGATGCCCCCTCGCGCACGTCCCACTCAGTGCTCCACCTCAGTCAACACCGTGGTTCTGTGGCGGGGGGTGTTTGCTCGGGTTCGTGTTTGTTATTCTGTTTTATTTTCTTTCTAGATTACCAGCAGAAGTAAAGAGTCAACGTGGGCCCTCATACACAGCGTGAGTGATGCCTTTTCTGGCTGGCTGCTGATGCTCCTCATAGGATTGTTAGCAGGTGAGAGGAAAGTTTCCAAACGAAGGTCTAACTTTGTGTTGCAACAGCAGGACTGATTCCATGCACACACCTCTACCACCAGAACAGGGGATTTTTKTCCCAGAAGCGTAGGCTGACTGAGGTCCTCCACTGATATTTCGAGGCCCTGGTACTGCCTTACCATTTGTGCAGGATTTGTGGGTTTTTTTTTTTTTTTTTGTCCCATTGTCCTGTGTAGAGTTTAGAGTCTGACGTTGGCTACAAAGCTCTGAAATCAGAAACATCAAATCTGGGCAAGTCCCAGCTGAACAAAGACTGGGCCGGAGGGAGGTCTCATGCAGTCAGTGATCCTAACTGGATGCTTTCCATGGGCCCTGGAAAGGCAGATGCCGAGCCCTGGTTAGCAAGATGCAAAAAAAAAAAAAAAAAAAAAAAAGAATTTTTTTAACTAAACTTAGGAGTGAAGGTCTTGGGAAACCTTTGAATTTCCCCAGTCTCTTGAAAGCTTCTTGTAGAGGCCAACGGAGACCTAAATAACTTCAGAAGCAACCTTTGAACCCAGCACTGCCTAAGTCAATCAGCGAGCTGCAGACAGTCTCGGAGGAAAGCAGCTAAACATTCATCAGGAGGGCCGAAATCAAGTCTTGTGTTAATATTTACAGAGGAAAAGCTTCAGGGCAGTTTTTCATTAACCAAAAGGTTCCCTAGATATTAAGGGTTACCCCTGGAGTCCTGCTTCTGCGACTGAGCAGGCGCCAGCCCTGAACTCCGCTGCGTCGACTTTGCATTTCAGCAGAGMGCAGTTGATGGCAGTGATTTCCACGGCGGGTTGTGACTTCACTCGGAGTTCCTTTTAAAATCTGAACTCCTTTGCTTGCTCTCTGCCTTGTTTTGTTTGGCCCAGTCAGGGCTTCCCTGTATATGTTCTTTATGGTGGATTTTTTGTRGCCTGTCCCTGTGCCCTGCCGTGTGTTAACCCCCGTTCTGCTTCTCCCATTACCTGCCACCTTGGATTTAATAAGTGACCTTGCAGTGTGATGGAGAAGGATTATTCTAGGGACTTAGTGTGGGCTTTAATGCAGTTTGTGAGGGTCAGTCTTTGAAATACTATTAGGTATACTGACGTTTTTTTCCATATATCCTGGCATAAGCCTTCCCTCTAGTTYTCTAAAGGACAGACAAAAATACTCCAGCTGCTCTGTTTTTTGGTAGGTGAATCAAAAATGCTTAGAGCCAACTGTGACCTTCAGATGTGTGCCTGCATGATACGGTTATGTGTTTTTCATCTTTTCCTTTCTTCCCCCTCTCATAGGTTCCTTGGCTGGTCTCATAGACATCTCRGCCCACTGGATGACAGATCTGAAAGAAGGGGTTTGTCTGGCCGGCTTCTGGTTTAACCACGAGCACTGCTGTTGGAAATCCAGCACCACCTTCACGGACAGAGACAAGTGTCCAGAGTGGAAGAGCTGGTCACAGCTTATTCTTGGCCATGGGGAGGTGATGTGTGCCTAGCTTTGCATTGTCTCCTGTTAGTCATCTGTAAATATATGCCATTAGCACAAACTCTTAAGGTTCTTGTTGCTGAGGTCTTTCAAGGGGTGCAAATAAGCTCAACCAAGTGTCTTCCATGGGGTTCTCGGAGGGGAGGCAAAAGCTCYATGCAGTTGAAGAGCATTGCTTTGCTCCTGTGCTTGAGACATTGCTTGGAGAGGGTTTTGCCCCTGAGCAGCCTCAGAGCCTCGTGCAAAACGAGCTGCTTCTCGTGCTTCTGGCAGTGCTGCCCAGTGGCAAACTTGCTCCACCACAACAATATTGATATACTTTGTTTGCTATTTTACGTAATGCTGCCTGGAAATCTCAATATAAAAGAGATTATAAATATCTCTATAAATAGCGCTCTAAATATCAGTATAAATAACTAAATTGGTTTATACCCCGTGACCCAACAAACCTACCTTGTCCTTGGTGCCACAACTGCTTGTGGTTTGGGCTGCTTCCTGCTGCACAGGTTTGATGGGATCTTTTGTTGAAAGTATGTGTCTGAATTGGGGCGCTTTCTTTGCTTTTTAGGGAGCGTTTGCATATATTCTCAACTACTTCATGTATGTTATCTGGGCCTTGTTGTTCTCCCTCCTTGCTGTGTTACTCGTGAAGGGGTTTGCTCCTTATGCCTGCGGCTCAGGAATTCCGGAGGTGAGTGGGATTGGGCAGAAGGGTTTCTTTAATTTGGGGTAGGGATCCACCATGCAAAGATTACTTGTGATGAGTTGATATTGGGACTGATGGACATGCAGAAGTTGTCTCCTTGTGGTGTGTGTGTATATATATATATATAGTATATATAAAAAAAAGTATATTTTAGCAATTAGGAGGTACAAGAAAGTTCATTAAGGAAAGCTGTGGGAGAAGGCTGAAGGCAGGAGCTGGGAATAGAGAGTGACATGAGAGCCCCATGGCCAGGGCTTGAATGAAAGCCTGTAGAGCTCTGTGTGCTTGACTTCCAGATCAAAACTATCTTAAGTGGTTTCATCATTAGAGGCTACCTGGGCAAGTGGACGCTGATCATCAAAACCATCACCCTAGTGTTGGCCGTGTCCTCCGGCCTGAGCTTGGGCAAAGAGGGGCCCCTGGTGCACGTCGCCTGCTGCTGTGGGAACATCTTGTGTCACCTCTTCACCAAGTACCGGAAAAACGAAGCCAAGCGCAGAGAGGTAAAACAGGGCGGCGATGCCGTCCCACTATTGAGGTGGTGGGGTGGGAAGCTGGTGGGCTTGGTGACCCTGGTGTGGGGAGATACCTGGTTAGCAATGGGARTGTTCATTTGTGATGACTTGCCCGGTTTGCAAGGCTTGTTAGCACCYGCCATGTGTTTCCCTGAACTCCTCAGGGTGTCCGTGGGACTTGGGCTTGGCTGTGTGAACACACTGAGGGCCTTTGCTTCTGAGGACCTGCTTCAGTCACGACGGACACAGTGCAAGGCCAAARCTGGCATCTCACATGAAGCAACGTGTTCCCTCACAATATTTTAAGGCATTTTCCCCGTAACAGGTCGCTGCAGGACAAACACTGCGAGATGCATGGCATGACCTTGGCCAGGTTACCTCCTGGCAGACCAGAAGTGACTCGGGCTTCTCTTCCAGGTTCTGTCCGCAGCTGCCGCTGCCGGGGTGTCCGTGGCTTTTGGAGCGCCGATTGGAGGAGTGCTTTTTAGCCTGGAAGAGGTAACAGGAGCACTTTGTGTTCGCCCTTGGCAAGCTCTTTTATTGCATGAACTCATTTGGCTGGTTTAGAAATACAGTCTGCTTGTCACGACTTGGGAGTGGGAGGGAGAGGCAGTTCAGTGCTGCTTGATACATTTACAGGGGAACCTAAGCAACCYAAAAGCTGACTGGGGCTTCAGTAAACTCTTAGGATCCCTGGAGAACTTATTTCAGAGGGTGTAAATCCCTAGTTTGGCAATAAATCTCTTTTTCTGCAGCCTGCCTGTCCTCCTCAGCATTGGCTGCTCACATTTACAGGCTCTGTTGTGTTGTCCACATCTCTTGTCTGTGTTACAGCTCTGTCCCCAGTGTACTTCAAAGTGAGCTTTTATCTCGCTTCTGAAGCCCGTTTTCTTTCAAAAAAAACTAGTGATGCAAGTTGTTTTGCCCCAGATATGAAATAGGTCATTGCTGCTTGCTTCAGCATCCACTGAGAGGAGAAGGGCTAGGGCAGTTGTGCTCAACTGCTCAGTACTTTGCTCAGCCTGTAGTAGCTCTTTGGCACTCCTGCACCTTGCAGGACGTGACGGGCAAATGGTTCTGTGGCTGCAGCCCACAGCTAATCTGCAACCCCTCGTGTTATGTGGATAAGGCACCTGCCCTTCAGGGATCATGAAGGGCATTTATTGCATTGAAAGTGTACAGCACGGGGCAAGCGACGAAGCAGGAAGCTCCAAATGCAGCCTGGGGAGCTGCCTAAAAAGGAGGGTGCCTCGTCCATGGGCACTGATCTAAACTGTTTGTAGTTTGCACAGTGCTGGTTTTGTGACGGGGCAGCAGTCAGTGCAGTGAGAGGAGCTGAAGCGACTGAATCTGCTTTTTCCTTCCTTTGTAGGTCAGTTACTACTTCCCTCTGAAGACACTGTGGCGCTCCTTCTTCGCTGCTCTGGTGGCCGCGTTTACTCTGCGCTCCATCAACCCCTTTGGGAACAGCCGCCTGGTTCTCTTCTATGTGGAGTTYCACATGCCGTGGCATCTGCTGGAGCTGGTGCCCTTCATCCTCTTGGGGATATTTGGGGGGCTCTGGGGAGCTTTCTTCATTCGCAGCAACATCGCGTGGTGCCGGCGGCGCAAGACGACCAAGCTTGGCAAGTACCCCGTGCTGGAGGTGTTGGTGGTGACTGCGATCACGGCCGTCCTGGCCTTCCCCAACGAATACACCAGGATGAGCACCAGCGAGCTCATCTCCGAGCTCTTCAATGACTGCGGCATTCTGGACTCCTCCAAACTCTGCGAGTATGTCAACGATCTCAACAGCACCAAAGGGGATGACCTCCCAGACCGAGCTGCTGGCCCGGGGGTCTACACGGCCATGTGGCAGCTGGCCTTGGCCCTTATAATGAAAGTCTTCATCACGATCTTCACCTTTGGCATGAAGGTGAGACCTGCCTGTAGAGGAGCTTTATTTACTCCATAATAGACATGTTTTTCTCCCCACACTTTCCCCCCAAAGGGCAGAAGTCTGCTTTGGGGGGATAATAGAGCAGGATTGCTCTGAGGGCACTGGAGCCTCTTGCCCTGAAGTTGGCTGTCAGATGAAACATAACTGATAAGCTGGTATATCCAGAATTGGCGAGAAATTTTCTGAATTTCAAGGTGGAATTTGAATTGCAGGCAGGGAAGAAGGATTATTCCACGTTTAGTAGGTGAAACCAGCACAGCTAGAAAATACTGGTGCACGCAGTGGACAAGTAATGGTGTTGGAGAGAAGGGGGAAGCGCTGTTGGGGTGCAGAGGAAAAAAACCTCTCTGTTCTGCACTAACCTGGTCTGGCTGTTTCAGCTGCTCAGAAACAAGGGAATTCAAACTRTTACAGAGATGCTGGAGCATGGCTTGTTTCATTAAGGACAGTGGCAAGCCCAGTGCTCTCYTTGTCAGCCTAAGGACACCAGGTGAGACTCTGCCACCACCTTTCAGTGCAGGAAGGGAAGAGATGCTGAAGCCAGGCAATCTTGCCAGTTTTAACTTGAGTATAACCTCCCATAGCGTCATCTTGTGAGCTTTTAGTGCTGGCTKCCTGCAAAATGCCGTGTTGACTCATGTGGGTGGTGTTCTGTTTTGTTGTTWTTTTAGGTGCCTTCAGGTCTCTTCATCCCCAGTATGGCGGTCGGTGCCATTGCAGGCAGGTTGCTGGGAGTGGCAATGGAGCAGCTGGCGTTTTACCACCACGACTGGGTCATCTTCAGCGGCTGGTGCAGCCAAGGAGCTGACTGCATCACTCCTGGCCTCTACGCAATGGTTGGGGCTGCAGCATGTCTAGGTAAGCGCAGTGCATTTGGAAATCCAAGGTGCTGGCCCTGGATTTGCTTGGCTAAGGTCGAGAGGTGTAGAAAAGACTACGATGCTGCTGCTCTTGGAGGCTGGAATAACTGACCTTGTGCCAAGAGCAAGAGACTTTGTAATGTATTTCTTGTCTTTCTGCATTCTTTGGGAGCATCAGCATATCCTGGGTTGTGATGGGTTCAGTGGGAAACCTGAATCCACAGAGCAAACAAAAGAACCCGGCAAGGGGCTTTAGGTTTTCCCTGTAGGTTTTCAAGTCTTCTTGTGCTACACATTCATCTTCCAGTGCATCTCTTCTTTCAAGCACTGTTCCATGCAGGGGTTGATTGGTTTGATTTTGCGTGTGTGGTAACTCYTCTGCCCCTGTTTGGCAAAAGGGCCTGTGGAGAAATTGAGCGCCTGAACTTGACTTTCACGGCAATTCCCAATCCTCTCCTTCACAGAGTGGCATGTATATCTCTTAAGGTATTGCTTTGCAGTATTAGGAGGCACTTCATTCAAGAAGCAGTCAAAACTCATGAATCTGTTTATGGAGGTGTGTGTAAGGCCTTTTTAAAGGATGACCAAGCTCTTTTGGAAGCTGATTTTGGAGTTAAATTTCTCTCATATTAAGTAACAGGATAGCCTTTCTAGCAGATGGGCATTGCCATTATACAATGTTAAGTAGGCACTTTTGAACAGACATCCCACATGGTTTGTGGATCAGAAGGTCTGTTCTCAAAGGACATGTGGTGCTGGGGTGTCTCATTACCCAATTGAAATTCATGAAGTCTTTGCAGGATGCTGAGTTCTGAGAAGGATTCATCAAAACCCATGTAGCAAGAGGGACCCTGAAGCCAGCACATGACATAATATACTGGAAAGGACAGTTGGTTTTAATACCATGTTCTGTTCATGTTTGGCTTCCACTGCTGAACGTAGTGCCTGTTTTCTAAGCAGGAGTTCAGCAGGACAAACATTTTTTAATCCAAGAGTTTGTCCTGAGGGCTTGGCAGAGGACAGCTCTAGCAAACAGCAAGAACAACTCTGCTGTTGGGAAGGGAACCCCTTCCAAATCCTTCCAAATATGCTCCATCTGCCCGCGTCCTCTTTGCAGGTGGGGTGACCCGAATGACTGTTTCGCTGGTGGTCATCATGTTCGAGCTCACTGGGGGCCTGGAGTACATCGTTCCTCTGATGGCAGCAGCCATGACCAGCAAGTGGGTGGCAGATGCCATAGGGCGGGAGGGCATTTACGACGCCCACATTCGTCTCAACGGCTACCCCTTCTTGGAAGCCAAGGAGGAGTTCTCGCACAAGACCCTTGCGATGGATGTAATGAGACCGCGGAGAAACGATCCTCCCTTGACTGTCATCACTCAGGACAGCATGACCGTAGAAGATGTTGAGGCCATAATCAATGAAACAACGTACAGTGGCTACCCAGTGGTGGTGTCGCGGGAGTCCCAAAGGCTCGTTGGGTTTGTCCTCAGGAGAGATCTCATCATTTCAATAGGTAAGTGGGGAAAGGTGAGATGTTTCATAGTTGAACAGAACATTTAGAGGCCTCAAATGCCGTTGACTGTAACTTCTCCTAAATTCCAACACCCAGCAGTGATGGTGGATATTCTTGGTGAAATTAGCCTCCCCGTTCCCAAGCAGTGTGGGGCTTGCAGGGGTTGAGAGCGAAGGACAGCACAGCTTGCTCAATGCGGTTGGTGCAGCTCTGCTCAACTCACAAACCTTAATKCACCCATGTGAACCATAAGAGTTCTTGCCAGCAAGAACTGAGCTGAAGAACTTAGCGAGAACTAAGCTTTCCAACATCAGAAGCTCAAGTACTGCTTCTGGTCATGGTGGCTCTTGCTGGCTTATGTAGGGCGATGCTTTTGTTGTTGATGAGTCAGGAGCATGTTAGGGCTGCAGGGCATTGTAGTCCTTTAGAAGTTGTGCCTGTGCTGAAATGAAGATAGAGATTGGTCATAGTTATGGGCACTGAGCCCCCCATGCCCTGCCTAATTAGTCCTTGCTGATTGAATCCAGCAGGGGCTTGGGCTCAAGCATCTACTCTAGGCTTTGGAGAGYTTGCCTTGGTCAACACTGCCGTGTGGAGTCACCAAGCAGGGTTCACACAAGCCCCGTGATGAGCTGGGCAGGAGAACAGCCTCAGCTGAAAGTGCATTTTTCCTCAGTAGGGTTAGTTTCCAGCAGATCTGGTCACTGCTTCAGCTCTCCTTGGGACCCCATGAGCACTGGTGTAAAGGAACAAGTGAGGCTGGCAGTTACCTTGCAGGAGGGGAAAAAGCAGATACGTGGTTGCTCAACAGCCCAATCTCAAGGTATTAAACATACATATGAAGTCTGTGGTGTGTTCTCCAGGGCATGGTTTAATGCAGCATCTCAGTTCAAGCTTGGGAACTTTGTGTAGGATCTACATGAACTTCTGCTCCTGAGCTACCTTCATCCCATGGCAGTATCAGAGCAGCCTGAGTAACTGAGCTGTCTGGCCATTCCCTCTCTGTTTTAAGGTGGGTTTTCAGGGACAGATTTAGGCCACATGCAATACAGCCTTTTTGAGCATGCAGATGTTGCTCTAGGCTTCTCTTGATAAATATGGAGCTAAACGTTTTTGGTGATGTGGAGGCAGATGTAGTGAAAGCAAAGTGCTGTATTGTAGTCGCGGGCATCTCCTTCCATTGGGTTGCTTCATGGTATGACCATGATCTGCTGCCTTTGTGGCACTGTGCCTCTCCAGAGGCCCCCTGAGAGGAAGCTCTTTCCCAAGATAAGCACAGTGAGGCGTTGCTGTGGGTTATGGAATGGGATTTAGGTTTTGGTAGCCTGCTGTGAGAGCTCTCAGCGTGTGCTTTTTGTTTTCCTAAGGATTTATTTTTCCCTTAAGGAAAAATTTCTTAACAGTGAGGGTGACAGAGCCCTGGCACAGGCTGCCCAGAGAGATTGTGGGGTCGTCTTCTCTGGAGATCTTCCAAACCCGCTTGGATGCAGCCTGTGCCACATGCTCAGGGTGACCCTGCRTGTGCAGGGCGCTTGGACGAGATGATCTCTAGAGGTCCCTTCCAACCTTAAGCATTCCGTGATTCTTGCTTGCTTTATTTTTCTTGGATACTGAGTAGACCTCTTCCCAATAAGTCTAGTAACGTAAATACCAAATCAAAGCTACGATACGGCCAGCATCTAGATTGCTTGCCTAGGAGCAGAGCTGTAATGCAGCAGCACGAGTAGTGGCAAGTACTGGGAGTCCTTGGCATAACGATGCAGTTGTTAGAAGATGGGATGGAAACAGCTCACCCCWACTTGGGTCATTATGAAAGCACGTGAGTGAAGTGAAGCCGTGGACCTTTGYTAAGGTCATGCCAGCACGGTCAGAGAGAGAAAAGCACGTGTTCTGGTTAGGAGAGGCAAGGAGAGCTGATATTTAATCACCTGTTTCCTTTTTCCAGAAAATGCCCGGAAGAAGCAGGATGGGATTGTGAGCACTTCAATTATTTATTTCACTGACCACTCTCCTCCSCTGCCTCCGAGCTCGCCGTCCATGCTCAAACTCAGGAGCATCCTGGACCTCAGTCCCTTCACGGTGACGGACCAAACGCCCATGGAGATTGTTGTGGATATATTCCGCAAGCTCGGACTGCGCCAGTGCCTGGTCACTCACAACGGGTGAGAAYGCTGCTGGCTGCCTAGGGAGGGATCCCCTAGGATAACGCCAAGTTAGTTAAACCCTGGTTTAACGCTAGTGAAGGCTGGTGAAGCGGTGATGCAGATCCATGCGAGGATGGGTATGACACCCCCAACGCAGGTGGAAAGGGCTCATGACCATCGCAAGGGGGGTTTGGACTAAATGGTCTCAAGGTCCCTTCCAACCTYGACCATTCTGTGATCTCCCTTTTGGTCCTGCACGTTATGTAATTCACTCCGAATTCACTCTGGTGTCAGTCTGGACGTTGTGTGTTGAGGTAGGAGCGAGAACAAAGAGTTAAAACCAGTGGTAGAAGTGATTTAAATCTGTTCACTGAAGTGTCATGCCGTGGAAGGAGTTGTTCTGTGCTGCCAGCCTTGTTAGTGATGCTTTGGGCACTTCTTGCAAGAAATAACATTGTTAACCAAAGGTTTGCAGCAGAAGATTTGTTTCTTTAGCCCCCTGCATCCATGTATTTTGATACGTCCCTGAAAAAAACAAATAAAAACAGAAGCTGCTGAGRCTATCGGGACTTAAAATACAGTTCTAGAAATTCAAATTCCGGGAGCTGATGCACTAATAATGTTTGTTTTTATGTTTGCTTTGTAGGAAGTTACTTGGGATCATTACCAAAAAGGATGTATTAAAGCATATTGCACAGCTGGCTAACCAGGACCCAGATTCTATACTGTTCAATTAAAAGCAGACTAATAGATAGCGTGTGTTCTGCACAGAAGAAACTTTATAATAAAGATCCTGGATGCTCTTTCCTATTTTTACAGAGACCTTGAAACTGTTTTTGACATTCCCTTCTGTGGAGCTGAAGAAGATATATATATATATATTTTTTTTTTCTACAGAATAACCAATTGCACTACATAATCTGTGGAAATTAATCTTCTCTTTAGAAGAAAAAGGACTTTATTTACATTGCTTTTGTGAAGTTGCATTGGAAAAATTCCATGAAGGAGTAAAAGCAAAATGCTACAGAATTATATCTCTTCCTTTTTATTTTATTTGAACTCTTGTAACTAGTGTGGGGAGGCAAAGACAAGGACCCCRTTCGGCGTCTTCAGAAGCTTTGAAGGAGAAGGATGATTTTTGCATGCAGCGCATTCAGGTGCTGGCACAAGGAGACAGTTGTTACTCAGGGCAGCGTGTTCCTGGTTACCCACTTGGTCCTTCCATAATCAGACTGGAAGAGAGAGAAGAAAAGAGCAAAGCGTGCACCACACGGTAGGAGAACGTCGAAAGTGACCTCAGCTCCTCAGCTACCAGCACCAGCTAGCGGAGGACGTTCTGGTGACAGAAGGAAAGCGAACAAACAAATCGCCCCAGGAGCAGATCTGCTTAGAAGTGGACTCGGTTTCGGAGTGGGAAGAAGCTTATTTGGTTACTCTCTTGTGAATGTATTGAGTTTCACYCTGTGACTTGCTTGCTAAGAGCATCTGAAGGAGGAGGCAGGAGTCGAGGGTTGTATTCTTGTCCTCCTTAGATATATGCCTTGGTTTTTTGTTTTGTTTTTGGTTGGTTTTTTGGGGAGGTTTTGTTTGTTTGCTTGTTTTTCTTTAGATATCTGCCTCGGGCTTTCTCCTCTGGCTGGTGCCTGGAATGGCAAAGGCTGAGTGCYGAGTTATTGCCCTGGCTTTCCTGCACTTCCAGTCACTCCCTGATCGCATCGGATGTTGCACAACGGGCCTCTTCCTTCATGAGCAGTGTCTGACGGGGTGGAGGACATCGGCGGAGGTGCCTGTCCCCAAGGAGTTTACATGAATGCACATTCTGGTCCCTGCCTCTGCCCGGTCTTGYCCCCAACTCAGGCTCGACTCCCGGCGCTGGGATTGAGCCCACTGCCACTTGACGTTCACCTCGGTGTCTCCTTTCACCAACAACTATGCAATGACCTCCCTTTCCCACCACCGTCAGCAAAACCACTTGTCCCTCAGTTGGTCCCTTCCCCTGTTGCTTCTCCAGTCTCTCCCATCTTTAACYCATTTTCTTTCTTTTTTCTGTTAATAAAAACTGAAATTCTGACAGTATGCAACTGCACTGGAGGGTAGTGGTGCTCACCAGGCTGGAGCAGGCCTTATTTTGCTCTCTGTGACTGAGGGTCGTTGCTGGAAAGGAGGGTTCCCACCGTGTTTGGCTTGGCCTCCTTTGGCCAGTTGAGTTCTTGTATGGTTGAAAGGGGGCTCAGAGCAAAATGTTACCACTGGATCAGGTATCTTGTAAGAAAATAAATGCCTTGACGTTGCCTGTGCTGTGTTTGTGCAGCGGGAGCTCTCCCACGCTGTGCTGTGGCAATCAGAAGGTGCCCTGGGCTGCGCCCACATGCTGCCTTGCAGCTGGCAGTGCTTGACCTGCAGCCTCTGCTCGAGCTGGCAGCAGCCCCGGAGATCTTGGGAACCTGCTGGGTTCCAGTGCTTCTGCGTCTGCTCTYGGAGGCTTTTCCCTGGAGCTGCTCTACAGGTCCCTGCCTTTAGAGAACATCTTTGCAGGTGTGAAGTGTGATCCATGCAACATCCTGCTTCCTTTTTGACGGGCCTGTGACGCCAGAGAGCACCACGCTTCTGCTTTGCACGCCTCGGCTTACTTTAAAATATACAGAAAGGCTTGAGCATGGGAACGTAAATCCTCCGCCTCCCTTAATTCAACCCGCGCTGCATGAGAGCCCCTGGTCCCTACGGGCCAAGCCCTGCTCTCGCAGAGGGGAAAGGAGGAATGTCCCTGGCAGGCAGCGGGGCTCCCTACGCGCTGGCGACGGCAGGAGCTGCTGGAAGGGAGACCCACGGACAGGCTGGAGCGGTGGCGGGAGCCTCCGAACGCGGCAGCGCAGGGAGAGCCCTGGTGCGGGGAGCCGGGGAGCTGCCGCGCTGCCTCGGGCGCGTTGGAGGCCTGGGGCTCCCGGCCTCTGTGGGGCTAATGGGAGGGCTGCCTCCCTGCGGAGGGAGGGCTCCCGGGAGGCTCCTCCTGGGCTTTCTGCAGGTGGTGGTGCTTGGTGGAACGGCGGGGTGAGGAGTTGTTGGRAATTGCAGCAAGGGCAAGGTGTCCTCGAAAGGCTGGCCTGAAGGAGTCGCATCGGAGGTGAGAGCTGCCAGAAAAGCCCGACCTTGGGCTGTGGGAGAGCCTGGCAGAGCCAGGCTCAGACCTGGGGAGCTCGGGTTTGGATCAGCCGCAGGATCCCTGCTGCGCCAAGCCAAACAGACTGGCGATGAGCAAAATAAAAAGCATTGCAAGGGGAGAAGACTTCTCTTTGCCAGCCTATGTGAGGCAGCGACCTAACTCTGGTCTGAGAAGATCTCTGCACTTGCTTGGCTTTAAAATGAAAGCTGGTACTGGTGCTCATGTCTGTTTTAATGCAATCATTCTTCACATTGGCCCTGGCCGATAAAACCCTCTTGGGAAGAGATTCTCCTGCCCGCGGGCGTCCTGGCTGCTGTGGGGTCTCGCCCCGTCTGCTTGTGGCCTCTGTGGTGCGTTACCTTCAGCGCGACTCCAGGAGGAGCCGTGGGGTTTCTCACCAGCAAGCGGCCCTTSGACGCGTCCTCTGCAGCGGGAAGCCGGGAGGAAGCTGAGCTGTGGCCGCCTGAATCCATAAGCGGGAGAAACAGAAGCAGGCCCCTGAGCTCGCCAGCTGGGCTATAGAAACGGTTTGCAGCTCCTGCTTGAACTACCACAGCTACGACTTGGGCCGATTTTCTCATCTGTAGCTGAAACCTCCCAACCCTGGAGGTGAAACTGYGTGAGATCTGTGTCTATAAATTGGGGTAGGATGTTATAGTATTTATAAAGCAAGTTATTCGGGACCGTTTCTGGGGGAAGTCCAGATGCTGCTGCTAGCTTTGGTCTTAAGGGTGGATTGCACCTTGGGGTTGACACTGTCTACCAGGGAGTGATGGGCTCTGAGCTACACCCTGTTCCTTGACCTTGTACCACCCAAGGAGATGCTCTCTCTGTCCTTGGAGCTTTCCCTTCACGAGAAACAGGGCAGAATTTCATCCCGTGTTCTACCGTCGAGGACAATGCGGAGGGTCTGGTACCTCTGGCCTGTCTCGCTTCAGGTAGCCATTTGGTTGGGCCTCAGGACCTGGGATATACGGGTGTGGATCAATGCAGCTCAGCTGCTTCTGGAATACATTTAGGGCCGGGGAGAGGGACGTGTTCTGCAGCACTCAGTGAGGGTGGTGGTGAGCTCAGTGAGTGCAAACACCTGCTTGAAAGCATTCAATGAAAACCTATGGAGCAACCGAACTGCGATGGGCCTGGTGGTTCTCATGGGTGTCCTGCTCACAGCAGCCTTGGGCGGACTCTCTCCCTTGCATCCATGATGTTTTCCTGGAGATAGGGCCAACTTAATGAGCGTCCGGCTTCCTATGGCTGTTGGAGCCCTTCTTGACGCAGGAACTGGGTTTGCTGATAGCTCTTTTCCTGCTCTGAGGATGGCTGGGGATGAACCAGCTCTGTGCTACCCCCAAAGTAAAGCCTGGGGGAAGTGAAGTGGCATGGAAGGTGCTGCAGGACCTGCACCATGGACGAGCTCTCCTGCTTCTTACCTCTTCCRTGCAAACAGGGGAGCAATCTCTGGTCTCTCTGGGCTTTTGCTTTGACAACTTTGTTTACGCTGCTCCCAGAAAAGGTTTCCTAGGGTGGTGGCGGTCTGGATTTCCTCCTGAGCGCTGTCAACTTGCTGCACTCTCAGGACTTGAAAGTAAAACCAGGTCTGTCGGGAAGGAAATGGCTGTGACCAGGAGGTCAAGAGGAACGGGTTAATAACAAACAGAAGTGCGATTGTGGCCCGTGCATTTATTCTGAGAGAAAGAAAGGCAGCACCAGCCTGGCAAACACCCTCCCCTGTCTGTCTGTCCGAGCTGCCTGACGTCCCTCCGCAGCCGCACGAGGAATGGAAAGCAAAGCCTCCGGGGTGGGGACAAGGCTTTGGCAGCAGGTACAAGGAAGGAGCAGCTCAGATCAAATAAACGCAGCAGAGCCGAGCGCCCTCGTCTGCAAACGTCGCCGCAAGTGCCCTCGCCAGCGCCAGCCCTCTTGGAGAGGGGCAGACGGGGCAGAGCCTTCCTGAAACAGCCCTCGGGAAGGTGCAGGGCCGGCTCCCTCCCCTTGCGGCCTTTGCGTCGGTGCTAATCTACGCTTTGCTTTTGTTTTGTGTTTGAAGGAAGAGGAGACGGCTTTCCCGTGTGGCGCTGCTTTGCCGCGAGCTCGCTGGCACGGAGCGTTGTTGTTCCCTGAAACCACGTGTCCCGCGGCGCTCGCGCTGGCCCGGCACGCGCGGCTCTTCCCGCGCCGGCCGCGAGCCGCAGCGGCACCCGGGCTTGCACGGCGCCTCTCCCCTCCTGCCACAGGGCCCAGGGTGTCTCCCTGGCGTTGTCCATGCTTCCAGGAATCACTCTGAGGCGGATGACACAGCTGGGGAAGTGTGCGTGCTGATGTGTTTTCTTTGGGCTTAGCTTTCTGGAGAGGAGAAACAAGCTAAAACCACGTTTTAATTCTGTGTTGCAGAGCATCAACATTCAGATGCACATCTGTGCATCTGAATTCCCCAGATGGTTTTGCGTTTCTCAACCTCTCGTTTTTGTTCCAGCCTTCCTCTCTCAATGCAGAAGGGCCAGGAATGGCGAGGTTACTCCGAAAGGGGACAAGTCGCAGTGAGGAAGAGATGAGGAGCGARGACCTGGTGAGGGTAGTTCCTGGGCTCCCCTGCGGGGAGCTGGACAGGGATRCTGGAAAGCCCTTCCAGTCGCACCTGCAGCCGCTCTGGGGAGTTCCACCCCTGTTCCCCTTTCCCCCTTCCACCCCCAGCTTCAGTTTTCCCATGGAAATGGGAAGGGCTCAGCCGAGCTGCCCTGTCGGCGCCTGCCCAGCCCGGCGAGCCAGGAGCAGCRGTGCCTGCTCCGCTCCTTCCCCCAGGACTGCTGCCCTCGGCCCTTTTGTCTTTCCTCTTTTTTTATATATAATTTTTCCTGCTTTGTTTATCCCTCTGGCGGAGATTTGGCTGGAGCCGGCTGTGTTTCCTGAGTTGCTCGTGGAGCCAGCTCTGCTCCTCTTGTCTCTGCAGCCTATGCAACCCTGAGGCAGCTTCAGGCTGACACAAACCTCCTTGTTTCTCAAGCTTGAGGGTTCTCGCTGCTGCTGGGCCCGTTTTACCCTACTGTGSTGCTTGGAAGGGCAGCTGGAGCGCCCTTAAAATGCACCCTGCTACCCAACCAAGGGTGCTGCAGAGGGGCAAAGATTCCTCGTACGGGAAGATGTTGGAGCGACCTGGTTCTGCCTGATACGGGCTCCCAGCCCTAGCCAAGGCTGCAAATGGTCCCAGAAAGCTGCAGCAGGGAGAGCAGCAGCAAGAAACAGCCCTTGTTGCAGAGTGAGAGGCAACCAGCCCATCTCAGCAGCCTCCTGACAGGCTGGTTGCTCTGGCAGCAACTCCAAAGCAACACCAAGAAGCACCCCATCCTGGGAAGTGCCCCTTCCTGGGAATGGCCTGGACATTTGCAGGAGTGTTGAGGAGAGGTGGCAGCTGCCTTGGCATGGTCCTGGGCCAGGCAGGCTAGGTGATGATCTGCTAGAGGCACCAGAGACRCAAGATGAGACCAGATCCAGTTGCTGCCCACAGGCTTCTTTGGAGGAGGAACTCCTGGGAACCTGCGCAAGGCTGTGCCTTGAGGCCACCTAGTCTGATGAAGGCAGCCGAGCTGCTCTGCAGCTGCCACCAGCATCCCAGCCCCACCACCACGCTGCATCCACGCGTGGGACTGGAAGGCTCAGCTCTTCCTGGCTGGTGCTTTTGCCAGGCGTGGATATTCCTGTGGATATTCCAGGGGACTGGGGTGGATCTGCAGGTACTAGTGGACAAGCAGGTACTCTTCAAGAACCTTCATAGTTGTTGCTGATGATGTCTGTGCTGGGTTATCTGCTGGGACGAGGGGTAGGGACAGGCACAGGGCTGTGGGCAGGTGGAGAAGGCCGTTGTGCAGCAAATGGAGCAGAACCGGGCCCAGGCGCTCTGCAGTATCAGAGCACAGCACCCGAGCCGGCCCAGACATCATGYTCAGGCTCCCAGTCCACCTCACTGTGGCCTCATCCTCAGTCTCATGGGATGCCCGATGCAAAAAGGTGTGAGGCCAGCACGGGAGTACAAGGTTTATTTAAACCAGCACTGAGCTCCCCCGTAGCCCCCCAGTGCGAGGGCTACTTGTATCCTTCACAGGAGCTAGTGCTGATGTCGGGAGTCTGGACACTTGGACAATCTTTGTACAATAGAGAGAATACGCAGGTAATTACAAAAGGGGACCGTGTCCATCCCAGCAGCCAAAGACCAAGGCACCTTAGGCACATTCTGCCCTGCAGGACCAATGTTCTGTGCCCGGGGTAGCCCTGTGGGCTTTGGGGCATGGGGCTTTGCTCTTCCTCCTCCCGGGGCTGGTGCTGGCACTGCGTGGGCTCCTGCAGCCCCAACACCCCATGGCAGCAGTGCTGGGGTACGTTAGGGGAAACACGGCTGCCTGGCACTTGGGTGGCCCTGAGCTGAAATCCTAAGGTTAACACCTTAGGGGACTGGAACATCTCTCACATGAGGAGAGACCGAGTGAGCTGGGCCTGTTCAGCTTGGAGAAGAGAAGGCTGAGAGGGGATCTGATTAACATGTATAAGTTCATGAAGGGCGAATGTAGGGAAGAAGGGGCCAARCTCTTCTCAGTGGTGGCCAGTGACAGGACAAGGGGAAATAGGTATAAGCTGAAACCCAGGCAGTTCCATGTGAGGAGGAACTTCTTTCCTGTGAGGGTGMCAGAGCCCTAGAACAGGCTGCCCAGGGAGGTTGTGGAGTCTCCTTCTCTGGAGGTCTTCAAAACCCGCYTGGATGCCACCCTGTGCCACATGCTCTAGGTGTGCCTGCTTGAGCAGAAAGGTTGGATGAGATGATCTCTAGAGGTCCCTTCCAACCTAGAACATTCTGTGATTCTGCAATTCTGTGTAACACAATGAGAACGARGTGGCAGTGGCCCCAGGGGACAAAACCCAGAAAAAGACGAGGCTTGGTCAGAAGGGAYGGCAGTGAAGGGGAGGCCTGGGGTGAAGCTCTGTGGCTCTGTGGTCCTGAGGATCTGAGGTGCCCTCTGCCCCACCGGGRCGTACTGGCTCACTCCCAGCATCCAGAGGGCGGAAAAGGAATGGGCAGTTCCATGACCCATCCTTGCTGCCAGGGATCCGCAGGCACCACGAACAGCGCTGGGGGATCTGCAGGTGCTCCTGCCCACAGGGCTTTGCTGGGCTGGTCATCAGCCCAGCGGTGCCTCTAGCACCCCTGCTGTGACCAGCCTCCCAAGGCAGCAGCACTGCACCCTCTCAGCACTGCGACGCGTTTGCACGGGGACAGCGAGGAGATGCGGATGCGGAGGCACAGGGCACTGGGCTCTGTTGGGACAGGGTGCTGCAGGCATCTGCGGCTCACACGCTGCCTTCCTGGCTACGCTGGCTCAGGATGAAGGTGCATCTTCACCTCATGCTTAGATGCATTCGCTTCTATTGGTAAGTAATCCAGCTTTGGGGCTCTGCTCTTTGACCCTCCGAAGTGGAAGACTGCTCACATCACTCCAGGCTTTAACCAGTCTGAACTGAAAGTCCTTCTTATCCTTCTGGTGACTGTGCACCTGAGTGCTGGATCTCCCAAGTTCCTGCAGGCAGAGAGGGGAGGAGGGCCAGCCTGGTGGATATGCTCACCATCTGCTGCTCTCCGCTAAGCCCAGCTTCTGGGCCTCCACACTGGGTTCCTCGGCAGGTTGCAGCCTGGTTTGCCAAGCCTGGCTGTGCCAGTTGTGTGTTTGGGCTTGCAGGGGTTGTCCTGCAGTGGGGAGGATTTCTGTTGTATCTGTGGATGTGACCCTTGAGCCTTGCAGGGGATGGGAGACAGGGTTTTGAGCACTTGAAGGCRTCTTGGTGACGTGGCTCTTGCTAGAGGCCTATCCTGCCCTGTGTTCCACATGTAACCTCAACCCAGCTCTGGTAGTTGTCCCTGGGGCAAACCTTGGTCCTTCCTTGTCCATGAAACCACATACTGAGTCCTCCTCTGGCTCTGTTCCTTGCCCCAAGGGACAAYATGGGCTTCAAACTGCACTGCATCCCCATGGCTTGGATTCCAGCTCTTTGGCTGCCATCCTGCACAGGTGAAGGCAATGGGACTGTGAGGACTGTTTGTGCGCCGCACAGGAGAGTCACTACGGAAGGAACAAGTTTGGTCTGAGAATGATCAACATGAGCATGAGGAGGATGTCACAGGTCAAGCCGGAAAGCCCCAAAATAGCTGGCTGCTGCGTCATTGTAGTCAATGGCCAGGGAGGAGACGGATACGAAGAGCTCATCACCCACCTTGAGCTCAAACAGTCCACCCTGGTAGAGAGCATGGAGGCCGTAGTTTGCCTCGGGCGCCCAGCACTTGGTGCCAACTCCTTTGAGCAGGAGGATGGGTTGGCTGTAGGAAGTCTTCCAGTTGATGCACTGCACGAGCTGAGGGACAGAGATGCGGGCACTGGCCCCGTCGCTGGGGTAGCGGAAGTAGATCTGGGAGTAGACATAGTATTTGCCCGCCTGGTTGACCCGCAGCCGCCCGTCCCGGTAGGTGATGTTCTGCAGGTGCGAGTGGATTGTGCTGTCCTCCCAGCGCGCGATGGCGTGGCGGCAGGACTGGGAAAGGTTCCCAAAGCGCTTGGAGCTTCCTGGGGAGAGGCAGAAGGATCATGGAAGGGGGCAAGCTCCTCCAGACAGTAGGCAGCGGGGTTGGGGGCAAGGGAGGAGGTGGCTCTAGCCACTTCCCACAGTGACTCAAGACCCCAGGCTGGAGGTGTGGAAGAGGTGTTCCCAGGGTAGAAAGGAGGAACATGTCCCTAACTGTCACCAAATCCTTTCTCCCATACTGGTCACCCACCCCTGGGTGGAGATCTTTTCCCTGTTCCCATTTCAGAAACCCTCCAGTGCTCAGCTGGGGCTCCCCTAGACTCACCATCCTGGGCCAGGCTCTGAGGACGGAGGGTTAGATGTGCGGAGGGCTTGCTGGGTGCCTTGGGAAGAACCTGTCCCTCCGAGGTGTTCAAGTAGCTCATCTGCGCTTCTGTGAGGAAAGGCAGAAACGGCTGCCATGGTCAGAGCACTTGGGGCTCCCCAGTTCCCTGCCCGCAGAGCACATCTCTACCGCGCAGGCAGGGCAGGGCCCCGCTGACCCTCCAAAGAGGGAGGCTCCTTGGGCTGGGCTGGTCAATGATTATCTAACACTTCAGCGCCAAACCCCTGGATGGACACGCTCCGGTCCCCTGGACACCAACCAGACATACTGGGCTGTCCTCCGAGCTGTGCCTGGGCTGTAGGCCCTTCCCCGGCCTAGCACGGCAGGCCTCGCTGCCCTCCTGCCCCAGCCTGGGCCACTGCAGCCGATGGAGTTTGTCCCAGCACTGYCCAGTCGGCCTCCCACTGCAGCCCCAGTCGCGTGCAGAGCTGCACACACATGAACTGCGGCCCCCAGCGTCTGGCCAGAAGAGAGTGGYTTGGTCACAGTGACCTGGACCCACGCAAACCAGTCCTCAGGGCTTTGAAGCTCCAACTGCCCCGGAATGGACTCCCAGCTCCTATGTTCAGGTGCTGGCTCCAAAGTACTCACCCCTCACCGTGCTCCTGCGGACAACCTTCTCTGTCACCTAAACCAAACCGTTAAGAGAAGAATATCAGCCCCATTGTCCAGAGGTGTAAAGGACATTCCCTGCTCCCCTGCTCTTCTCATCACTCCCTTGACCTTCATGTTGTCTCTGGGCTCCACCAACCCTTCAGATGTGCAGCCCCTCAGGCATCTCTGCCCTCTTTGCACTGCAATTTGCACTACAACTGCCCTCTGCCATCCTCTGGTGAGGCGGATGAGGCAAAGAGCTCTCCCTTTGAGTGCCCATTCTCCCCTTTCCCCTCAGCCAGCAGGTCTAGGCTCACCGTGGTCACGTAGGCTTTGATGGTTTTGGCCAGCTTGAGGCAGGACTGGTTGCTGATCAGCTCCTCCAGGTCTGAACCCTCCTGCTGCTGGTTGATAAGCTGCAAACACCTCAGCTCCTCCGAGCTCCCCTGTGACTGGGCTTTGAGCTGGAATGGGAATACCCGTATGTGCACGTGTTAAATGCAAGAGATGAAGGGAGGGCACGTGGCTTAGCTGGAGGGGACAGTGGGGATCCCTGTGCATGGGGCAGCCCCCATTCCCAGGGCTCCTCCTGTGTAAGAGCTCTCATAGCTGCAYCACGCAGTGGAGACCAACCCCAAACTCCTGTGATCACAGAGCTGGTGGTGGAACAGGTTGGTGCTGTCCGGATGGACATGGAGAGACTGTATCGGTGCTACTAGGAAGGAGTAAACTGGAAGGAGACTGGGATGGAGCCTGAGCACTGTCCCAGATCCGCTCTGTGATTTGCACAGTTAAACCTTATCTCATTCTCTCACAGAGCCCAAGAGTTGGCAGAAGCAGGTCTTGGCTGTCCCAGCTCTTGGGGAAAGGCAGCAACCTCTTTTGTGCAGTCCTAGTGCTGAGCGTGAGGAGGAGTAGGCGAGACAGGGACAGAAAGCCACAGAACAAAGGAGAGGGATGAAAATTTCCCTTTCCCCATCTCCTTCCTCCTCTTTTGTTGCTGTCCTGAAGGGACTGGGCTTCTCAATCAGTACAATCATCCTCGGCTTTGAACCAGATGTTCACRGAGCCTGTGGAAGCAGTTGCCGTGCAATGCCAGAGCTGGGGCTGTCTATAGTTGCACCATGCACAGAGGAACAGCTGCAGCTTGAGGCTGGAAATTCTCAGGAAGCCTGGCCCATGTTCTCGGTGCTTTAATTATCACTGCTGAGCTCAGCTGGAGTTGCAAAATGCAATATTATCCAGATCTCAGTGCAATCTTGTTCAGCTCTTCTCCTCCAGCCGCTGAGCCACGCTCACCGGCAACCGCATCCCTCGTGCCCGCAGGGCTGCACCAGCCCAGGCACACCTCGAGCCCCACTAGTCTGAGTCGGCTTGTGCTTTGGGATACAAAGCCTTCCTCCACGCAAYGTGGCGTGCTATGTGCTGAGCTGCCCCTTCCCAGTGCGTCCCTGACGCTGCAGCCCCAGGGCACACGACCGGCTACAGGATCTCCGTCCATGAGGCTGCTCTACCAGTGGTGGCCCACACACCTCCCACATCCATATGGCCGAGCGACTGGCAAGGGGTGGCTCTGAGAGTGCTTTGCYTGGCCTGGGTTCGGCCCACCAGGTTGCAGCTGTGCTTGGCCCCCTAGATCAGGGGACCACTTGCATGCAACTTGGCGACATGTGTATGTGTTTGAGTACAGCCAGGGCACAAAACTGCTCGGCGCTGCCAGAAGCGCCAACTGTGGCATGTGCCTGCATAACCTAGGCTGCCCCTGGCCAACCGGCCCGGGAAATGAAGCCAGCACGCTCTCAGCATGCTCCCCTACGCATGTCTGCAACCCTTCCTTGTGGTTTCTTCTATATAAAGTCCCCATGGTGGGTGCTACACAGGGTCCTAGGAACCAAATGAACCCCAAGGGCTGGAGTTTGCTCAGACAGAGGCCCGGGCAGGTGGCAGMCACAGGCTGTTCCTCTTACATCCATGGCCAGCTCTGATCTCCCGGGCAGGGCTTTTGTTTTATTTGTTTTCTGGTTTTTTGTTGTCTGTGGTTTTGTGCAATGCTTGCTACTCCAGGGCCTTTTTCTTGATGGACCCTTCATCATCAGGGCTGATCGTTACCATTTGTGGAACAGCCCAGGAAAACTGCTTGGCCGTCTTAAATTTTCCTCATACCAGCGAGGCCTCCAGTTTGCTGTTTTCCCCTCTGTAGCACCTAATTCAGTGGGGGCAACGGGAGCTATTAATAGGCTCAGGCCTGTCCTGCACCAGGTTGCTGTATTAAGGTCTATATCTCTGCACTGCCTAGTCTGAGGAGGACAGGAAGGCCCTGGAGCTGTGGCTGGGAGACAGTGTTTAGTGGTATCTAAGAAGCAGTAGTGCTGTAGGTCACCTGCYGAGACCCAGAAAAGGTTGGCTGTTGGGCCATAGTACCCAGTCCACAGGGTGCTAGGGTCGGGAACCTTTTGGCATTAGTGATGTAGAGAGCAGGTGGGCAAGGCTCGGGATGCCACAATGGTTATTTGCTGTGATTAAAGCTGAATGAAGCGCCTAAGAACTCCCGGCGATGAGGGCTTTCCCCACCTAGGCCATTTCTAGAGTTTCATAAAGCAGTTGAGAAAGAATTAGTAGATCTGGAGCACGAGTAGGTTGACAATGGCTGAAGCAGTGAGTGGGGAGGAGATGGGGTAGGAATCAGGAGTAAAAGTGGTCTGGAGTCTAGGGCAGGAGGTCCCTCTCTCAGCATCCGGATCTGCAGCTCCAGATGGAGCCCAGCAGAGTATGCCCTCCTCCACATCTGGATCTCTGTTTGTGGGTGAAGCCCAAAGTAGGTCCCTCACACCCAATCTGAACCCACAGCTTAAGATGGATTCCAATTCTCCATCTCTGGAACTCCAGCTCTGCATGGAACAAGGTAGGCAATCCCAGCTTCTGCACCTGCATCTCCAGATGGAGCTTGGGACAGGGGCTCATCCCTCCCATCTGGACAAAGCCCGGGCAGGGAGTCATTTCCCCAACATCTTAGAACCTTTGGACAGAGCCCAGAGCAGGGGCACTATTCTCCTACATCTGGATCCACAGCTTCTGATGGAGGGCAGGGCAGCCCCATCTCCACATCTGGATGCATGGCTCTGGATCCAGGGCAAGATGGAGTGCYGGGCAGAAGGTCCCTCCCACCAAATCTGTATCCCCAGCTCCAGCGGCAGCCAAAGAGGGGGCTCCCTGTCCCTGCATCCGGGCGCAGAGCTGCGCACGGAGCCTCCTCCAAAGGACTCTGTCCCTGCGCAGCTGGATCCAACCTGAGCCCGACACAGCGGCTCCTGCACCCGGGGCTTCCCGGGGTCCCAACCACCCCCTCCCCACCGCCTCCCGCTGCAGCCGGCGAGGGCTGTGGGGCGCTCGGGGCTGCGGGGCGCCCTGCCCGGGGGAGCCGGGCTCCTGGCCCGGGGCTGCCGCCGAGCCCCGCGCTGGGAGGAGCAGCAGGAGCAGCAGGAGGAGGAGGAGGAGGAGGAGGCGGAGGGGAGGCTCGGCGGGACAAAGCCCTCGGCGCGGCGGCCTCCAGCGGCGCGCCCCGCGGCTCACCTTGGAGATGGCCATGGTGAAGTAGACGAAGAGGCCGGTGGTGGAGGCGATCTGCAGCGCCACGATGGCCATGACGGCCACGCTGCCCCAGAGGGGGCCGCAGCGCCGCCGCCGCGGGTCGTCGGGGCCGCCGCCGGGCGACGGCAGCATGGGGGCGGCCGAGGCGCCGCTGTGCGAGCGCAGGCAGTGCCCGGCGCGGGGCTGCTGCGGCACCAT